AAGATGGCCAAGCCCCAAGGCAAAAAGGGCGCGAAACCTGAACTACCGGTCAGAAAGGTTAGCAATGCCCAAGGCACAAAGGGCGCGAAACCTGAACTAACGTTCAGGGAGGTTAGCAAGGTTGCCACTGCGCAAGGCACAAAGGGCGCGAAACCTGAACTAACGTTCAAGGTAGTCAGCAAGACCAACACTGCCCAAGACACAAAGGGCGCGAAACCTGAACTACCGTCCAGCCAGGTCAGCGAAGTCGCCATCGAACCAGGCAGGAAGGGCGCGAAACCTGAACTAACGATCAAAGGTGTCAGCGAAGTTGCCACTACGCAAGGCAAAAAGGACGCGAAACCTGAACTAACGTACCTGGTAGCCAACTCGAGGCAACACACCTCCACCTTGGAAATTCCTCACCCGGTAGACCGGGATATCACGGAAGTGAGGGAAGCACCAGTCACCAAAATAAAGAAAGTGATCCTGCGAGTGAGTAAACCCCCTCCAGAATCACTGGAGGGCGGAAAGGTGACAGCACCCAAGAAAGACTTAGACAAACAAAACACAGCGCACCGTGTGACAAACAAGGACCTACAACAAGCTGACCTAAGCAATGATGTCAGAACTCAGCAACCGGAATCAAGTGACATCACCTCACCTGACATAAGCAATGGGACCCAGACAAACAAGGACCCACAAACCGAAGTTGACGCCAACGTTGCACCAACGCTATTGCCCATGTCCCCTCCTCTTCTGACGGAAGTCATAGCTATTGGCGACCCTAATACGGACATTCACGAACGGATCACCAATAAATACGGGGAGGACCCCTTCTTTGCGAAGATTTTAAGCAGCCCATCCGCGTATAAGAACTTTGAAGTCAGTAACGGCCGGATTTTCCTTAGAGACAAGGGAAAACGTATCTTGTGCATACCGGACATTAAGATTGCGCAACGGCGAGTAAGAGAATTAGTTATATCTCATGCTCACTCCATACTGGCGCACCTAGGCCCATCCAAAACTTTACTATACCTCCGCGAAAATGTATGGTGGAAGGGGATAACCGCGGACGTTCAAGCCTTCTGTGAGTCATGTCCAACATGTCAGGTGTCCAAACCGTCGAATCACCAACCGTACGGTCTGCTAGAAACTCTCGAAGTCCCAACGCGTCCTTGGCAGACTGTTGGAATTGACTTTGTTGGACCGCTCCCTGAGTCCAAAACCCTACAAGGCGTGTTTGACATGATACTTGTAGCTATTGACCATCTAACGTCTATGGTACATCTAGCTCCAACGAAGCAAACCTACCGCGCGAAAGATATCGCCGAAGTCATGTTCAATCTGGTGTACAAGCATCACGGTATGCCCTCCAACATCGTTAGTGACCGGGACACGCTATTCACCAGCACTTTCTGGCAGCGCTTTCACCAACTTACGGGTGTTGAGCTACGTATGTCGACATCGTTTCACCCTCAATCTGACGGTGCCACCGAACGTGCGAACCGCACCATAACGCAAATGCTGCGGCAGGTCGTTTCGCCGAATCAACGGGACTGGGCTATCAAGCTCCCCGCAATTGAATTCGCGATTAATTCAGCATGCTCCGAAACCACGAAGTACCCTCCGTTTGTTCTAAACTACGGTAGACTACCTCCTCCCCTAATTTGGAACACTAACTCTGAATTCCCTGGAGTAAGAGTCTTCGCGCAGAAGATGAAAGACGCGATTATGGACGCGCATGACTCCATTATAGCAGCTCGCGTGAAGAGCACCACTAACGCTAACCGTCGTCGTACTGAGTCTCCCTTCGTTAAGGGAGATCTAGTGTACCTATCTACTGAAAACTTATCGTTGCCCAAGGGCCGTGCGCGCAAGCTGGCGCCAAAATACATTGGTCCTTACAGAATACTGGAAGACTACAAGAACAACGCGTTCCTACTGGACCTCCCTGCTCAGTTGAAGCAACGTGGCCTCCACCCCTCCTTTCACGCGCACCTACTGCGTCTCCACGTGCCAAACGACGATAGGCGATTCCCTGGACGACAGCTTGACCAGGTGTCCGATATTGGACACCTGGAGGAATGGTCAGTGACCAAGGTCACTGACCACCATGGAGCTGGACCGGACGCTCTCTTCGAGGTCGAATACTCCACCGGAGACAAAGTCTGGTTCCCTTACCACCAAGTCTCCCGTCTGGAGGCCTTGTCTCAATACCTTGAGGCTCTCGGCGTCCCCGGGATCGCACACCTGCCAAAGAAAATTAGCACGCCATCAACCACTATCCCCGTCAGCACCATAGATCAATTTTCTGCGGCCCGGCAGTCTGTTTTTGGTATCGTCGACCGAATGGTCGACGATTTTGCATCCGTCTCTCGCTTAAGCGGGCTGCAAGATGCCTATTTAACGGGCTTGCAGGGCCCCCAAAGCCATACTCCTCGCCCAGACTCCCCAATGTCCTCCACCGTTCTCCCAGCACGCACTAACGACATGCTCGTTGACGCGCCACTCGACGGGATCGAGCCCAGCAACTATGCTGATGCTCCCAGGCCAACTCGGCCTGGTCGAGGACGTCCCGGACGTTACCATAGAGGGAGAGGAGGGCGTGTCCGCCCTCCTCAACAGCGTGAGCACGACTCTGACGCCCTTGGCGCGTTCACGCGCTTCTTCCGTGCTGAGGCACAGGCCAAGGAATTGGCTACTAGGAAGGAGTCCCACGCCTTTGACGCGCTGGTGCGCGCCGAGCGCGCCCAACGCTCCTACGAAAGGTACTACCCTCGTACCCGTAACCTATCGCTGGATCACCGGCGTGGTCCTCGTGCTCACACACCACCTGAAGAACCACCACGCCGAGTACGCCGCGCACAGTCCCCTCCTCATCGCCGCGCATCGCGCGCCAGCTCCGTCCCAAGCAACCGTTCTGCACTTACCCCGGCTGCTCAGCTGATTGCTGAGGTATCCAGCAACGCATCTGTTATCCTCACACCTACTCCTATCCCCACGCCTCCTGCAGTCGACCCCGGACGTGACGTCGAGGACATAATCGCAGCTGCTGAGCAGCTCGACCTCGAGCAGGCTGGCCATATGCCTGGAGTCACTACCGAAGATGTTCTCGGTAGAATCCTTCCTGTTTGCTCATTGTTAGTCAATGTGCTCATCCTCATGCTTCTCATAGCTGCGTTCGCCTCCTTGGGACCCTCCCCGCGAACCTAAGGAACTCGCATCACCTGAAGACAGGTCCTCTCGCTTAGAGGACCTGGAGGGCGTATGTAACGCTCGTCAAAAGCCGTCGACGATACGTCGACGGTAGCAACCGAATATTAGACTTTATCATTCTCTCTAGTTACTCATTTAGTTTCATTCTCCTTTAGTCCCTGACTTTCTTACCCTTCAGTATATAAGCCATCGCGTATTTACTTGTAGGGTAGTTGATTTTCATCCCCCCCCCCCCCTTGAATAACATTTAGTTAGGACAGTTATCCTGTTCGAACCTTAAGACAATTCAAACCAATCGACTCTTTCTCGTGTGAACGTTCACTGAACGCCACACAGCTCCACAACTAAACAAAAGCGGTGAATGAACAAAAATGGATTCTGGCCTATCGTTTTGAAGGTAGCTGGAAAGGCTGCGGTTAGATCAAGTTACTGCACTGCCCGACCAACCCACGCGTCAGCGATGACGGTACTGTGGTTGGCGGTAGTATTAAGCCATTCAAGACCATAACACTGGGGTCTGGGGATCCTCATTTTTTCGTGAACGAGTGTATATTGCCGTGGGGAACGAGCGAATGAGAAAAAATAAAATGATATATTGGACTGCTGGGTATGTAACAATGTTGTTCAACGTTCGTCATCGTTTCCACAATGCGAGTGTGATGCTACTTGTCTCCAGTACAATCATGATCATGCGTCACGACACATTTACGACAATATCTCCGACATCGGCTACTGAAGCCTATTATCATCGATCTGCAGCTAACAGCTTGCCGTCTTTACTACTGCACAACTAACTACAGTAGAAGAACACTCCCAGGTGTGTTTCCGGTGTGGGATGTCCACTGTAACACATCATCCATGACTGTAACCCCATTCGTTTGCAGTTGATTCCGTCCAGTTATTTCTTGACGAGCAGTATACTAAGTAGTCGGCGAGATCAAAAGGTCATTCAGACACTGCTCAAGCCGATCAGATCGTTTCACAAGCATATCCTATCAAGTCCTACTCGTAGCAACGTTTGACGATGACCCCACAATTTTCTTGATTATGGGGTGTCAGATGCATATGGTCCGTGGATGCGTCTGCCACATCACTGCAAATGTGAAAATTGTGAAAAGTCAACCTTATTGACTGAAGTTCACCGAGCCGTACCATATACCCGTACCAAAAGGACTCGCGGAGTGCGTCTGAATGTGATCGGGTATTAGTGGTCGTCATCAATTTGTGTGTCACTGCACTTTAAAGCTAGAAGAAAATTATGCCATGGAGCATGAGCTGGCATCTGTTTGGTTCCTGAACGTACGGCGATGAAAGTGTTTGGCTGCACCATACACTAATTGTGTATAAAACCTAATCTATTCGCCTCGGTTCAGAAAGCACCATCGATATTCCACCATGAAATTCACTTCACTCACCACTATTGTCATTTCTGCCGCAGCGATGGCTGGCGTAGCTATTGCATCTGAAGACCTGGTGATAACACCCATGAACCTGCCCTGCAGCAACACTGGTGAGCACTCTTGTGGCCTACGTGCAGACATTAGACCGCGTACTTACGGTAATCCACAGATTCAGTAGGGTGCTCAACGGGCATCAAAGGTTGGAACAACGACGACGATTTTGGGTTTTTCTGTGGACCTCGAGGCACCATTATATCATACACAGCATGTTCCTGCAAAAACTGCTGTGTCGTGACTGCTGATGGGGATAGCTTCCAGTGTGGTTCCTAGGTGAGCCTGTCTTTCCCTGCTGCCTTTCGAGTCAAAATTGTCCAAGTGTTGATGTGCTCGCTCAGATGTTGTGCGCAAGAGGGTGTGAAGGAACGCTGTGACGTAGTATCAATTTGAATATGACATGCATTGAAATTTGAAGTTCTGGAGCCAGTCGATTGTTATCATGATTCATGATACATGATGACGACGAACTTTGTATTATGTAATGTCGAATAATCTTGATGGACAGCCTTTCCTCGCAGAGAGCTTGCATGAACTCATCCATCATCAGTAATAGAACACATACTCACGAGGCGTTCATGATTGATATCAAAACGGGATGGGAGGATGAAGTAAGGATGACCAGCTTCAGGAATTTGAAGGTACCGTGCCTGCCTAAACATGGTTGGAACTTCAAGTCGCCTCCGTCACGATGTCCCCGTCTCCACCCCTAGTACGTCTTCCCGTGGCACCGTTTCATTATCTTGCCCGTGGACGGTATTTAAAGAGGATGGCGTCGTCATGGTTCGATTGGTCACGACTGAAATCATCTCGTCCATGGAAGTGAAGAAGCTCCAACACCACGGTCCACGAAAAAGATGAGTATATTTTTTCCGGTCATACTCCTCAGTCTGGCTATCCTTTGAAGGCAGGGCGTTGACATAGTTTGCTAGGTTCGAGACAAAGGGGTACTTGACGATTTGCAAGGTGGAGATCTCGAATAGATCGAAGTGTGCCTCTCGCCTGAGCCTGGAAATTGTATGTGTCAGTGAAGGTCAGTTTACAGCTAGGACAAATTTCATCACCTATGAACGTCAATAGAAGTTCTGCTGAGTTCGAAGAAGCTGTAGCTCACCAACACCCCGCTGTTCGCGAGGTCAAAGGTGCCAACGTATATTGTCGCAAGCGCTTTTCCGTCTAGGCGGATGAGGCGATGAGAGTAGCACTTCGTGTCTTACTGAAAAGCTCTTCAGCGCACGCGATGTGCTTTGCAAGCTGGCATTGTTTGAAGAGACTGATAAGATGCGCATGTTTGTTCCGTCTGGTTCACAGCGACGGGATTCACGGACTAAGGTGGCAGGGTGATCATCTTCACACAGATATCCCGCAAGGCTCGGTGCGTGGCGAAAAGCTTTTGAAGGCATCTGCTCCGTCGAGGTCGAGAGTTTGGCGAGTAGATAACGATGGGTGAACTCCTGGCCAGGAGCGCGGTAGGGTGCAACAGCGAGGAATGAGTGCATGATCCTTTCAATGTTCTGGACGTTGGTTTCGAGCACATGAATGTCATAGAGACGCCATGAATGATGATGGTGTCCTGATGCGACCGCTAAGGCGCATGACGCCATTTTCGATGATGTCAACATCATCGAGTGATAAGTACCAGCCGCCCTCAACAAAGCTAGAGAACGCAGCCTCGGCATTGTTGTAGTAGCTTACGAACACTATCGATCCACGAATTTGAAGCTTGCCTCTCTCAACGTCAGAGCGCGGGGTGACGCCATCTGTGGGGTTTATAATGAACTCGCGAGTAGAGACCAGGAATAGAAGCAACCCCGAGCTCACTGGTCAGCCAACTTGCAGAACCAGACAGATTATTGATATGGGTGATATTGCTCTCCTTGTGCGCCTGCTGGGGGCTAAGCATGGGCTACAAACAGGGCAGATAGCCAGCCAGAAGACACCCAGACAGAAGCCATATCATCTTCGTGCTCCGTCAGGTTCACAACGATAACTGAGCCTCTGGGTTTGTACTCAAGTATAGTCCATGTAAGGTTGCGAACATCTTGGTTGAACACGCTGAGGTTATGAAACCAAATTCATGTAACAGATACCGGTCGATAACCTGAGCGATGATATCGTAGACAGTATTGGGTGCAGTGATGAAGTCGGTGGTAGGGATTGTGACGGGTGCCATTGTAGTGGCGGGCGGCCCGCCTAAGCAGTGTCTGCTAGTAAGACTTGCCGACTTTCCTGAAAGTACCTATATCCTCGGCACTAGAATTCAATACAGAGAACAGTTAGTACCATTACTACATTATAATGGAAGCGAGAATTCTCGCTAGCAAAGCGAATGGCCAAAATCCATCGGATCCTCCCCTCACTGACGCAATAATTGTCTGTAGTAGTTCGTCTGGGTCAAGCGATGCAGCACAATCGCACATCCTAGGGTGTGGGTCATGTTCAAATATCGTGTGATATCACTCCAGGCGAATATTTGAATGCTCATCTGTGGACAGGCCCTAGAGTTGCAGTGCTTATCCTCCGCTGTCATACAGCTCGGGGGCGTATGAATTAGTAGTGTGCCTCCTGTATTGCCTCTCATGGTGATGTTGGTTTTCAGATACCGCGTCATGGCCGCGTCAAGCCCAGTGAACATCGACCAGAAAGAAGGTGATACGTCGAAAACTGTAGAATTTGTTGTTGTGTTTCAAGACAGAAAAGGCAAACTCGATGAATGAGTTCTGGGAGGAAATTGCAGCGAGAGTGGACTTGAAATGCGTGAAATTTAAGCTGCCCTTGTTTAGTGATAACTCTGGAGTTTGTGGCTCTTTCGCTGTCGTCTGAAGAACTTGCACCCGTGAACGTTGCCGTGCTTTGCGTAGAATTCGGAGAGGGAAGACGACAAAGTAATCTTTGACTGACGTGTAGCCATCAATTTTTGAGGATAAATAAGATAGCTATGACCAGGGAGAATTAAGACACCTTGAATGTTGATCTGGTTTCATGCGTTACAAGATCGATAGGCCAAATTCCATTCACCGACGTTTGATTGGTCAGAAACGTCAACAAAGGCGCAGCACAGCTTCGGGAGCAACCGACATCAAATCCATCATGGTGCTCCAGTACACCCCAGACATTCGACTACCAGGTGTGGAATAACCATGAGGACGTCAGGAATGATATATTCCAGCACCAGAGCAGGAGCCTGTCGAACTCGCGTGCTTCAGGAGAGCAGTGGAAGGCCGAAACGACTCGGACAGCTGCTACGTCGGGTGCGCGAACTCAACTTGTTCTCAGTGCCAGCACCGTCGCAGAATGCACCATCCCTAGCTCGGTCTGGCAGTGTCACACAAGTGCGAAGAGTCTACACTGCTATCATCACTAACAGATCCTCTTCATCTCGGGGACTGGAAGCAATGGGTGCACCTACCGTCCCAGCCCACACATCATCTCACAGTCAACCACATATCAGTCCTACTCTCGCTCATGTTGTCGAGGTCTATTGCAATTTTTTCACGAGCAGCACAGCTGGCTACTAGATCATTAGATGAGGCTTTCCCACTGTCACTAGACAATTCGTCTTGATCGGAACGCCGTTGACTCTTTATTTGACGGAGACTGGCAACTAAGTAAAATCCAGGCCTGCCGGTTGGAAGTGGAGCATCAAGGCAGCACCATGGAGCTCAGGTGTTGTCATCGCTAAGGCTAAGCGAGTGGCCTACTAATCATGGTATCAATGAGATCGCGTACTCGGATGAAAATGACAACTTTTATAGCCTGACAGGAATGTATGACATGACAGTAAGGGGAGGTGGGAAGACGGGTGTTTGGTTTGAAACAACGTCGGTGAGAGAACTCACGCGGTTGTAGAGCGACAACTTGACCGTCATATCATGGCATGGCAATCTATTTGGCATGACTTGATGTCGCGTGCTACGTACACCGTTGCTCTAGTAGGCATCTGCTTGTGTGGGGGTCAGACTCCTGTCAAGCTGAGGATTATGGCAGGGTGGTAATCTAGGGGCCAGGCAGTGAAATTCGAAACCTTAGTCTCATATCTCAGCTGCTGTATTTCAACTTGCCACTCGTGCATCGAAGGAAAATAGTATACATATTTCGAAGATAATACTACACGCAGTTGGTACGAAGAATACTATACAGAACGGGACGAACGCGCAAAGCACTTCCGCCCATAAATAAAAATACTAAACTACGCAAACATTTCCTCCTCGCTCACATCCCGCATCCCACACGCCGCCCACATAACAGCAACACCCAAATCTTCCACACCATCATTCTTCGTGTCCACAACCCCGTCCACCTCATACACCGACTTCGTCATACCAAGGGTCACTTTAATGGCCGGGGGCCCGGGTGCGTACTCCTCGAGCTCCGAATCTAGGTTACCCCCATCCGTAATCCTAACTTTCTCATCTCGAGAAATGAGGCGTAGGATATTCCGGGCGGCAACCTCCGCTTGATAATATGATGTATGTCCAGCCTTGATCGCGTCGAACGCATCTGCTGCATCGCCTACGACGAAGATATTTGGGTATAAAGTCTTTTGGCTTGAGTAGGGCTCAATCAGGGTACCCGTGGATGAGACAGGTGACCCTGAAGGTATGTCGGCATGTGCGATAGATAGCGATGATGCCAATAATTCTGGCAGTTCTATCCCTTCTTCTGTATCAAAAGTCAAATTCATCAACCATTGTAGTATATCATCCGTCTGAAATTCGAGAGGCTCGATGGAAGGTGGCGGGACGCAAAGTTGCATGGTCCGCAGAACATGTGCCAGTCCAGTGTCTGGGGATACAGTACGAGGGTCCATGTTGCGAAGGAGCCCCGTGTTCGGTGTTTGACCAGTGCATAGGAGCTATAGCGTGCTCATTTAGCACCCTGTTCCTCGTTAATCTAGAAAAACTTGCCAGCAGGTCGGCAGATATTTCACGCCCAAATAGAGTCCGTACTACGCGTGGTTCTGAAGACCCTGGCATAGCGGATTTGTGTTGGAGAGACTCGAAATCGAGTCGTTCCCCAAGAATAACCTGAACGTTCAGCTCCTGCAAACCTTGAAGGGCTGTATCATCGCTGAGTTGAAATAACTTAATAGACGACACGCAAGACTCACTTTCTTCATGCATCGCGTCGTCAAACTTTGGCAATAAACGACGGCGGGAATGCAGAAGCGTGACCTGCTTTTGTGGGTATACCGCAGCGATGTCGGATGCGAATTCTATATATATGTAAACATCAAACGCGTCTTTCGTGGTATAATGACGTCACTTACGAATACCAAGCGCGCCGCCACCTACAATCAACACAGATTTGGCAGCCTCGATACTTTTCTGGCGTTCTCGGAGGGATGAGATACCCTCCGACTTCGTTCCTCCATACATTGATATTGTTGGTAGTTCCAAACTCGACTTTACACCTTTTTGGTGATTCCAAAGGTCTATAGGCTGGGGCAAGTGGGAGCCGAGAGCATAAATGGCATAGTCAAAGTCTAAGTCCAAGTGTGATTGTTGTGATCCTGGCAGATTCGGAGAGAGGGTGATGCGATGGCTGTTTATGGAGATGATGGTTGCTTGCACCCGAACATGAGACGAACACGAAGAAATATCTGACAGAGAACAAGAAGGGAAGTTCTTGTATGGAATAACTAATAGGGGCAAAGTCAGTGTCTGTCCAGAGTGGAGCATGATGATCGAGTGCACACTTACATGCTTTATGTTCGTGACCTGGAAGAACAGCATATCTAGAAAAGTTGTAAAAATCTAAAATAAAGAATGAATCTTCTTCACAGTTCGAAAGTAGCATTAGCTCTCACGATTCCTATGCCTAAGGGACATCAGAGGTTAACGGAACACATCCATTGGATCCGAAACCGGGGCAACGCACGAGTTTCTATCTACCAAAACAACTCTCCAACCCTGCGGCAGACCCTCTGCAAGAACTTGAGCAGCTCTTGAGCCTAGACGGTGATTGAGGGAGGGTCAGGGAAGATCGATTTCAACGCCACTCATATTGAACCCACCTCCGTAGGAACCACCCAAGACGACGACCGTCCTTGTGGGACATGTGGTCGAAGAGAGATAGGATGCTTTTGTGGCAACGGACATGATGCAGGACTCAGAAGGGAAGCAGCTCTAAATTACTACTTGACAGGCCCTGTATACGCGAGGAAAATAACTTGGGTGAGGATGCCTTTGGAGGCCCAAGCTTATATATTGCGAAGTCGGGACTTGCACATCAGTGAACTCGTGAACAGACTAGCATGTCATACAAAATAATTTCCGTAAACCTGGTGGCGGAGGTCACTTTACCTCGTGGAGGAATGATGATTTTTAAGTCAACCAGCCACGCTGTCTTACCCAGGTTTAGAGAATTGCACGGTAAACCCACGGGCACCGCGTGTGATACCCGCACGCGTACCCGCTCCAATAGGTACGGACTTTTGCTGGGCATGGCGCACTCGTACCCTTACCCGCGGATAATACCTACGAATGTGATTAAATTAGACATTTTAAAAATATAAGATGCAGATCGTGAAAGAAAACTCACTGAGATTCCAACATGCACAAGCAGGTGACAGACGCGAGTGCGAATAAGCGTTCACATGTGCAAATGGATACAAATCAGTGATATTACTTGATCATAAAAGAAAAGAGACGGACAACACACCTGTACGCGATCCATGTAAGATCTCAAAACGTTATCTTCTCATTGTCGTCCAGAAGTGCAAGACACTGAAGACTGCTGGTGTGCGTGGTTAGCACAAGGTTGCAAGTATTTGACGTGCCAAACACGATGCAAATGCAGCGAGCTATGTGGGAGTCATAAAAGGATGCAGGAGAGATGGTAGTTGGCTGTAGGGTGTCGTAGGGCTGGGATTGCACTTGTGGTTGAGCGTTGGCGCAGACGCACGGATACTTCTCCTACACATGACGTGACACAGTATACACAAAATGATCATTTATTTCCAGAATTCTCGTCCCTCTAAAGTGTCTCTGTTGAACAATGGTGATGCAATATATTGTAAATTTCAAAAGGATTAAGATGTCATCATGCAGAGAGTGAGTGTGATCTGGTACGGACGCGACAAGACATAGCGCTTGCAGTGTCATTTTCCCATGTTGTTCGGCTCCGTGTTCGAGACGGACTTTCCCGTCGTTCCTGACCGAGACAGCTGTCTGCAAGCCGAAGAAATGATGAACCGCTTCGTTCGAGAATGATAAGCATTCATAACTACAATCATTGAATTGAATTTGATACTCAAGGCTGTCGCAGATGTCACAGATGTCCTTGATGTGTGAGCATTCGTTCCTGAAACGTCCTGTGTCGAGCGGCTGACTGAAAGTGTCCACCAAGTCTTCTTCCACACCATCCCCGCCGACTTCGTCGTCCGAAGATTGATCAAGTTTCCCTTGTTGACTCGTACCTGTTCCAGTACATCAATATGCATCGATGCGTGTTGCCATGGTGGGGCAGACACTAATCGAGGGGAACGAGCGATGAATGCACCCATAACAGTATCGTGCAGTTCCGTTAAACTTCGAGGAAGGAAGGTGGGCGGAACAGAGTGCACGTTTTGTGCTCCTCCTTGGTGGCGTCGTTTTGCCTGTTTGGATGCCAACAGGGATTCACGTGATGTGCACGCGCCTATTCCCTTTCGGGAAGGCTGATGTAGGCCTGGGACCGTGATTTCGTTTCTTCCAGCAGACCTGCCAGCAATTGCAAGGTCATAAGCCTACTAATGGTATAAGCCGATTGTAGGTACTACATATAAGGAAGCAACGACCGAGAAGAATGGCATGATACATCGACCGAGCACAAACCGGAAGTGTGGACGAGCAACTTTTCAGCTGTGTTGCTGTGCTGGCAGGGCCATTGCGGGTTCAAATGATGAAGCGGTGACTGGGGGGTTGTCGATGTTGCCAGCAGGTTATTCCACAACGGTAGTAATCAATTAAATACGCTCCTGCACGTTCGTCTCACAGCAATACCGATTCTGCCAAATCGATCAGAACCGTGCCAACAAGCATATGCATGGTATAAAAGCTGATTATCGTCCTACAGTGTTTCCTCATTGTCAGATAACATTCGAGAACCCCCTCGCACAGAAAATGCGTCTATCCTTCATCACCATTGTTACTGCTTTGACAGCATCTGTGTCTGTCAGTGCATGTCTCAGCGAGGGTCAAAGTTGCAAATTTTATGAGTGCTGCCTTCCAATGATATGTGGAAAATATGTGAGTATGAGCAGGTCGCTATGCAGCCAGGAATCAACCATACGACTCACCTGCGCGCCTTAGTTCGGTGGAACCCATGATGTATGCATCTACCCGCTTGAAGATTGAGCCGGCAGCCCGAGTGGCACGTCGCGACAGTGAGTCATTTTTCTGCCTTCGCTTTGGCATCATGATGGTATGATACCTAGTTCAGAGCCAATCAGTACAATTTTTTTTGGAGAGATGTTCATACCGCTGAGCAATGCGGATGTTTGAATTTATCTAAAGATCATTCACCGTGTCTAGTCTTGCTCGTAGTCCACTAAGCTTGAATTCGAGGGGCCATCGAAACGAGCGGTCTTTGTTGATGATGATGAATATTAATATTGAGAGGTCATACAAAGATGGAACGCACTGCTAGGTTGGATCGCTTTATCGAATGTTAGCCTCGAAGACTATCTCGTGGAACTCTCTCTTGATGGCACCAACGAGACTCCGATCGTGTTTCGTGACAGACGTGCTATTTTCTGGTATGCCCAAGGTCCTACGGCGGGCCATACGTGCTAGTGAACCTGTCAACAGATGAGATTGGTATTCAAAGCCATATACATCGCAAAAATCAACGTCGAACTGCCAACCACTTTCACATGGGAATGCTTTGCATTGTCGAAGAAACACCGATTTGCAAGCACACGGGCCCGGTAGTGAAATCACAGATCTGTGAACTTTTCAGTTGAATGGGAAGAAATTCAAAGTACAGGTGCATGAAGCCAAGCATGTATCCAGCCTGAGACGGGCGATAAAATAGATGGACCGGTCAACAGTAACATGCATGACGTCGCAGGGTGCTATTATCCACTACCAAATGCCAGGTCTGTGAGCAAGCTATATTCTGGAGTTGAAAACGTTGAATGCTGGAAGGACGGTGTCGAAGCTGGAATAGTCCATTAGTGCAAATGTTTATAAACGATGTGGTCCAATAATAATTTGACTTGATGATATATGATATTGCGTATGTCGAGACAAAAGCATCATTGCGAACCAATGGAAGTCAGGGACTTGCGGCGATACGTATATGTAGTTCATTGCCGAGTCGATCAAAGTTCTGTGTAGGGTTGAACGTTGAACAATGCCATGTATGCTTTTGCCAAGGAACGATTTGCTGCGTCGGTATGTCAGAGTGCCGGGATTGTGCGCTTCTATTTGCGTGTGTTGTTCCCACTTTAAAGTACCCCCTGACGATAAAACATTAGTTAATTCTTGTCTCCAGACAAAATTGATCGCCTGACGAGCGCCCACTTAGTACTCAGTGCCCACTCACGAGTAGATAATCTCTCTGTTTGAGAATTCAGTTGTGAATTAACACGAGTAGAAGGTCTCTGAATTGAATGTAGAGAAGCAGTTTAAAATTACTACTTGACAGGCCCTAGAAAATAGATCGAGTGAGGATCTGTTTCGGGGGCCCAAGCTTATATATTGTGAAGTTGGAACTCGCATATAAATGGACTGGTGAACAGACTAGTATGACACCATGTCACACAATAATGTCTGCAAACCTAGTGGAGGTTACTCTACGTCGTGGAGGAATGATAATTTTTAAGTCAACCAGCCACGCTGTCTTACCCAGTTTTAGAGAACTGCATGGGTAAACCCAAGGGTACGGGTTTTCGCTTGGCACGGCGCGCCCGTACCCTCACCTGTGCCCATGCGGGGCTTTACCCGTGGATGATACCTATAAATGTCATTAAATTAGACATTTTAAAAATATGGAATGTAGATCGTGAAAGAACACTCACTGAGATTCCAGCATACACAAGTAGGTGACAGGCGCGAGTGCGAACAAAGGTTCGCATGTGCAAATAATGAACACAAATCAGTGAGATTGCTTTATCATAAAAGAAAAGAAAACACCTGTACGCGACTCATGTAAGATCTCAAAATGTTATCTTCTCATTGTCATCGGGAAATGCGAGACACTGAACGCGGCTGGTTAGCACGAGGTTGCAAGTATTTGACATGCCAAACACGATGCAAATGCAGCGCGGATGTGGGAGTTGTGTGTGAGTCATAAATGGATGCAGGAGAGGTGACAGTTGGCTGTAGGGTGTTGTAGGGCTGGGATTGCACTTGTGGTTGAACGTTGACGCAGACGCACGAATACTTCTCCTACACATCACATGACGTACCGCCAGTATCCACTCGTTTATTTTCCGAGTTCTTGTTCCTCCAAAATAGCCCTGTCGAAGACTGTATTAACTATAGTATGACAACAACAATGATGAATAGGACAATATGAGGTACATTCTAGTGGGATCAAGCTATCATCATGCAAAGAGCGAATGGAATCTGGTACGTACTACGGACACGATAAGACATAGCACTTGGCACTTGCAGTGTCATTTTCCCATGTCACTCGGCTCCGTGTTCGAGACGGACTTTCCCGTCGTTTCTGACTGAGACAGCTGCCTGCAAGCCGAAGAAATGATGAACCGCTTCGTTCGAAAATGGTAAGCATTCATAGCTACAATCATTGAATTGAATTTGATACTCTCAAGGCCGTCACAGATCAAGTCGCAAATATCCTTGCTATGCATGTGCATTCGTTCCTAGAATGACCTGTGTCGAGCGGCTGATGGAAAGTATCCATGAGGTCTTCTTCCACACCATCCCCGCCGACTTTGTCGTCCGAGGATCGATTGAGTGTCCCTCGTTCACTCGGACCTGTTCCGAGTCCATTACATCAATATGCATCGATGCATGTTGCCATGGTGGGACAGACCACAATATAGGGAAACAAGCTATAGATGCACCCAGAACAGTATCGTGCAGTTCCGTTCAGGCTTAGACTCCGAGGGAAAAGATGGGTGAAACAAGGTATGCTCCCTCCTAGTGGAGTCGTTTGTCTTGTTTGGATGCCGACGGTAAGTCACGTGATGTGTCGGAGGTTCGATCCATTGCTTTTGGCTCACATTAATGGAATTAGCTAAATCTGTACGATCTTGACATGGACATCTTGTGGATATACTACAATTTCAAAATGCTCTAGAATGCTGAGCGGGCCAATCGAAGTAGACATTTTTGTAGTGTATTCACCCTCGCTTGTGTCTGTCACATTGGTGGTGCCTACTTGTCTCTCATGCTTTACATTAGATCATAAAAATACATGTGAAGCTTGCTACAGACTATCTGCACCTAATCATAAAGCTCGCATTCGTTCGACAGAATTTTGTGACACCGCATTGGTTGCCAATAATTGTCATTAGCTTGCACTAGATTATCATTCCTAGAGCTAGCTACTATTAATTTTCGCACCCGGCGAAATCTAACTAGTTTACATGGGAGAATTCTCCTGATACGAAAAGATAATTATGGGACCATTCCCGCTCGAAAATCAAAGCACCAAATCACGCAAACATATCCTCCTCGCTCACATCCCGCATCCCACACGCCGCCCACATAACAGCAACACCCAAATCTTCCACACCATCATTCTTCGTGCCAACAACCCCGTTCGACTCATACACCGACTTCGTCATACCAAGGGTCACTTTAATGGCCGGAGGCCCGTGTGCATACTCCTCGAGCTCCGAATCTAGGTCGTCTCCAGCCGTAATGCCAACCTTCTCATTTCGAGAAATGAGGCGTAGGATATTCCGGGCAGCAACCTCCGCTTGATAATATGATGTATGACCAGCTTTGATCGCGTCGAACGCGTCTGCTGCATCGCCCACGACAAAGATGTTGGAGTACAAAGTCTTTGGCATAGGTAGGGCTCCACCAGGGTTTCCGTGGATGAGGACATCGAAAGTATGTCGGGATGGGTGCTAGATGGCGACGGTGGCGACGATGACTCTGACCCTTCTTCTGCATCAAGAGATAACTTCTTCAGATAATGTAGGACATCATCTGCCTGATACTTGTGAGGCTCAGAAGGTGGTGGGACGCAAAGTTGCATAGTCCGCAGAACTCGTGCCAGTCCAGTGTCTGGGGATACGGCACGAGGGTCCATGTCGCGAAGGAGCCCTGTGTTCGGTGTTTGACCTGTACAAAGGAGCTGATGACGCTCTCATTTAGCTTGTTGTCCCTTGTTAATCTGAAAAAACCTACCAGTAGGTCGGCAGATATTTCCTGCCCTGATAGAGTCCGTACTACACGTAGTTCTGGAGACGCTGGCGTAGCGGATTTGTGTTGGAGAGACTCAAAATCAAGTCGCTCTCCAAGAATAACCCGAACGTTAAGCTCCTGCAAACCTTGAAGGGCTGTATCATCGCTGAGTTGAAATCACTTAATAGACGACATGCAAGACTCACCCTCTTCATGCACCGCTTCATCGAACTTTGGCAATAAACGACGACGGGAATGCAGAAGCGTGACGCGCTTTTGTGGGTATATAGCAGCGATGTCGGATGCAAACTCTATATATAACTATGAAACGTGTCTTCCGTGATGTAATGACGTCACTTACGAATGCCAAGCGCACCGCCACCTACGACCAACACAGATCTGGCAGCCTCGACACGTTTCTGTCGTTCTTGCAGGGATGAGACACCCTCCGACTTCGTTCCTCCGTACGTTGATATTGCTGATGGTTGCAAACTCGACTTTACACCTTTTTGGTGATTCCAAAGGTCTATAGGCTGGGGCAAGTGGGAGCCGAGAGCATAAACGGCATAGTCATACTCCAAGTCCAAATCTGATTCTTGTGATCCTGGCAGATTCGGAGAGAGGGTGATGCGATGGTCGCCTATGGAGGTGATAGTTGCTTGCACCCGAACGTGAGATGTACATGAAGGAAGATCTGACAGGGAACTAGAAGTGATGTTATTAATATTGTACGGGATAACTGATGGCAACGACGTTAGTATCTGTCCAGAGTCATGCATGTGGATCAAGTGCACACTTACACGCTTTGTGTTCGTGACCAGCAAGAACAGCATATCTAGAAAAGTTGTAAAAATCTGAAATGCAAAATGAATATTCATTCCGAGCTCGAAAGTAGCAAGGTTCTCACGATTCCTATGCCTGTAGACATCAGAGGTTAACGGAACATCCGTTGAATCAGAAACCAGGACAACGTACGAATTTCTATCAACCAAAACAACTCTCCAACCCTGCGGTATGCCCTCTGCAAGAAGGTGCGCAGCTCTTGAACCTAGACGGTGATTGGACGAGGGTCAATGAAAACCAATTTCAACACCGCTCGTGTTGAAAACACACCTCCGTAGGAACCGCCAAGGACGACGACCGTCTTTGTAGGAAATTCTGTCGCAGACAGATGAGACGCCTTTGTAGCAATGGACATGATGCAGGACTCGGAAAAGATACAGTTATAAGTTACTACTTGACAGGTCTTGTACAGGTGAGGGAAATATATCGTTCGAACACGAGTCTGACTCCTGTTGAAGGTCCGAGTTTATATATTGTGGATTTTCATATTGTGGATGCCCATTATGGGTAGCAGTGCAGATAAATGCACTAGTTGAAATGTGGCCAAGTGATGCAGGATGCTGCACTGGGTTGGGGCTCAGTCAGTGCAATCAATTCACGCGCACGTTCAGTCGCTGGAAACCAGCCATCAGGATCGTGATACGATCTTAATTTCCGCGCGCGCATTGGATTGAATTTGTTTTCCCAAAGTCATCTGAACGATATCATCTATTTCAGATGAAAGGTCTACCCCAGGTGCCGAGCGTTTGAGTTGCCTGTATGATGTGCCTTGTCACCGCAGTCAGTTCACTGCCCCTAGCATGAGATTTGTGCTGAATGACTTTTCAGATGGCCTGGTCAGTTATACGTGACATCGCAGTCTATGTTGTTCTTGACCATGTTGGAATCAGCCAGGAACGACTGTCTTACTTCTATATAGTCTGACTATTAGGAGAGACTGACATAAGTATTGGAGGAGGTTTGAAATTTGAACATTGAAAACCGCGGTAGTAGCGGCTATCATAGACCAAGCCTAGGCGGGGACCTGACTCATTCTACTAGTAGGACGGGCCTTACCCGATACCTGTACGGTGCAGTCTGAGTGGAATAACTACTATGTATGAACAACCGATCATCCCGCATCTTTCGAAATTACGGCCAGCGTCTCGTCCGCGCATTCTAATATTAGTTTTGACCAGCGTCTATCAAGAACGCCCCAATTATCAAAGTTCTATTGTGCCGCAGTGCCTTTTTGAAAATTTTAAAGTTCGTTTGTATGTGCTCCCCTGTTGCCATCTGTGCCAGCGTCTGGCTCGCATCATTTCATTCTTCATCGGCCGTAAGCACTATGCTGAAATTATCCCTGCGCATTATTCAATTCACGTTATTTCAGTCGGTCGGTAACAGTATGTAAAGTTACATACGGGCCTACATGACTGTGCTGATGTGATTATGCGCCACAAGTTCGTGTCATAGTAATATATCAAACAGGGCAACTGTAGCGGACCTGTGTTCTAAAATCAGTGCAAGTGCAATACCTTTGATGTATCAGGCTGTCACCAACGCATTACAATAGCCACAATGAACTTTGTCGCTACAACACAGCCATTTCTGGTCTCGACCTCAACGTAATTCCCACGCTCCTCTTTATTACAGGCTCCGCAAAGTAACTAGAGCGGGCCGTAGCCGAGCCGTGGCACTACTACCTGAGGCAGGTAATCTAAGAGCCTTCGTATCTAACTGCTGTTTTCAACTTGCCACTGCCACTCATCGAAAAACAATAGCAAACATATTTCGAAGATAGTACTGTATGCAGTCGGTACGAACAAGTACTATACGGAATGGGACGAATGCGCGAAGCGCTTTCCCGCCCACAAACCGAAACATCAAGTTATTCAAACATTTCCTCCTCAGTCACATTGCGCATTCCACGCGCCGCCCACATAACAGCAACACCCAAATCTTCCACACCATCAGTTTTCGTGCCCACAACCCCGTTCACCTCATATACCGACTTCGTCATACCAAGAGTCACTTTAATGGCCGGAGGCCCAGGCGCATACTCCTCGAGCTCCGAACCTAGGTCGTCCCCGGCCGCAATCCCAACTTTCTCATCTCGAGGGATGAGGCGCAGGATATTCCGAGCGGCAACCTCCGCTTGATAATATGATGTATGCCCAGCTTTGATCGCATCGAACGCATCTGCTGCATCGCCCACGACGAAGATATTCGGGTATAAAGTCTTTTGGCATAGGTAGGGCTCGACCAGGGTTTCCGTGGATGAGTGGGGTGACGTCGCAGGTATGTCGGTACGTGCGACAGATAGCGACGATGGCGACAATTCTGACTGTTCTATCTCTTCTTCTGTATCAAGAGTTAACTTCTTCAAACAATGCAGGACATCATCTGCCCGCAACTTGTGAGGCTCAAAAGAGGGTGGTGGGACGCAAAGTTGCATAGTCCGTAGAACATGTGCCAGTCCAGTGTCTGGTGATACAGCACGAGGGTCCATGTCGCGAAGGAGCCCCGTGTTCGGTGTTTGACCAGTGCATAGGAGCTGATAACGTGCTTATTTAGCTTCCTGTCCCTGGTTAATCTGGAAAAACCTACCAGTAGGTCAGCAGATATCTCCTGCCCAGATAGAGTCCGTACTACACGCGGTTCGGAAGATCCTTGCGTAGCAGATGTGCGTTGGAGAGACTCGAAATCAAGTCGCTCTCCAAGAATAACCCTAACGTTCAGCTCCTGCAAACCTTGAAGGGCTGTATCATCGCTGAGCTGAAATCACTTAATGGACAACACGCAAGACTCACCCTCTTCATGCATCGCGTCATCAAACTTTGGCAATAAACGACGACGGGAATGCAGAAGCGTGACGTGCTTTTGTGGGTATAGGGCAGCGATATCGGAAGCAAACTCTACATATAATCATCAAACGCGTCTTCCGCGGTATAATGACGTCACTTACGAATACCAAGCGCACCGCCACCTACCACCAACACGAACCTGGCAGCCTCCACGCGTTTCTGGCGTTCTTGGAGGGATGAGATACCCTCCGACTTCGTTCCTCCGTAGGTTGGTATTTCTGGTGGTTCCAAACTCGACTTCATTATACCTTCTTTTTGGTGACTCCAAAGGTCTATGGGCTGGGGCAAGTGAGAGCCGAGAGCATAAATGGCATAGTCAAACTCCAAGTCCACGTATGATTGTTGTGATCCTGGCAGATTCGGAGAGAGAGTGATGCGATGGTCGTCTATAGAGATGATAGTTGCTTGCACCCGAACATGAGATGAACACGAAGGAATGTCTGACAGAGAACTAGTAGGGAAGTTATTGTATGGAATAACTAATAAAAGAGGGGTTAATATCTGTATAGAGTGGAGCATGCGGATCGAGTGCACACTTACATGCTTTATGTTCGTGACCGGCTAGAACAGCATATCTAGGAAAGTTGTAAACGTCTAAAACACAAAATGAATCTTCTTCCGAGCTCGAAAATAGCAAAGCTCTCACGATTCATATGTCTGAGGGACATCGGAGGTCAACGGAAAATACATCTACCGAATTAGAAACCGGGACGACGCACGAATTTCTATCTACCAACACAACTCTCCAACCCTGCGGCATACCCTTCGCAAGAACTTGAGCAGCTCTTGAGCCTGGATGGTAATTGGAGGAGAGTCAGTAGAAAATAATTTCAACGCCACTCGTGTTGAACACACCTCCATAGGAACCGCCTAGAACGACGACCGTTCTTGTAGGAAATGTTGTGTGCATGGAGGTCGAAGACGGATGGGAGGCCTTTTTGGCAACGGACATGATGGAGGACTCGGAAGGGAAGTAGCTCCGGGTTGCTTGACAAGCTGTAACTGCGTGAATATATGGTTCGAGCTTATCTGATAACGAAGGAAAATCGTGAGATAGTATTGCCTAATTTGCCAATCGGTGTTCCGTCTGATAGACGTGGAGATCCATAATGATTCCATTGCATCTCCCATCTGACGTGGACCACAGCATGTGTCCTCCCCGCTGTGGCGGCTGTTAACCTTCATTTCCGAGCCACCCTACTGCCAACCAATCCCCATGAATATGCGCCGCCAACTTTGCCAGCAAATTTTACTGCATGAATGTAAAACCGATGCGGTTTGATCATCTGGTATCTTTATCTTCAAGAATGAATTGGTAAAGTCTGAAATTATACAGTATAGATGACGTGGACTCGTATCCTAATATTCACTGCATGATTTATATCTCTCATCTGACGTGGACCATAACTACTGCCAGTGCATGTGTCCTCCTGTGTCCTCGCTGCGGCTCAAGTTGGGTGTACCTTCATTACCGAGCCACGCCGCCGTCGAGAGATTATAGGTGAATATGCAAAATTTTACTATTACTGCGTAAATTCCTAGACCTAACTCGAATTAGGGCCTCCTGTAGGTGACTTTTCGTCTGTAGCATCGAGGTTTCCGGATTCTATTTCCGTCATCGGACTACTCTGAAGATGTCTCACACGGTAAGTTGTTATTCGCCTTCCTCGACTACACGGCTCATTTGAGGCGTATTAATTACTGACAACAAGCTTGATCTATCACACGTTTTATCCAAGTGCATTTCATCTTGTAAAACACCAGAGAGTGATCCGTGTGTGTCGTGGTTACTGTTCCATTCGTACGCGGTTACACACACTCATGAATACACCTAGATAAGCAGCTGATTGCTTCTGATATCCTACTTTTCGGGATGGCGAAGCCATGTTGGTACATTCGGCCTCATTCAGGCTTTTTTTCATGAGATGTTCAATACAGCGGCCATATGACGGAGCTATATATTCCCATACGGGTACGACGAACAGCCATATCCCTGCATATATATTGCCTTCAGCCTCACCCTACCCTGCAGCCGTTGTTTTTCCGGTTCTTATGCCATCTCTTCACATACTTATTGACAATTTCCAGTTGTGTGGTCTCAGGCTTGCAGTTCATCGCGCACGCGCGCACTCTAAGGTTCGCACGGTAAAATGGAAGTTCGAGACTTCGTGTGTTCATCAGCGGTACGTCTTCAAAGCATTGCAGCACCATCGCAAGCAATCAGACAATGTTGTGTTACCACAGCCTTTTTTTTAGTCCCGTTAACCTTATCGCGTCCACGCGGCAGGTTAATTCTAGCTTGGCCCCTGCAGAAGCAGCACAAGTATTAATGTGAGATGTTGCGGCTCGTTCTAAGACGCAAAGGAGGACAAATATGATTGAGCCTTCACCCGTCTGCCTTCGTGACGAGATAAATGAGATAATCCGTGAGTAGCGGTCAGCAATATCTATAATAGCATTCAGCGCGACGCTTGTGCAGGGTGCTCGTTTGTGGGGCTCAAATTGACTGTACCAACAGGAAAACTATCGGATGCCCTTGCACTTTCAGACAACTTAATGGCTTCGTACATATGCCAGTAAGCGAACCAGATGGAAGAGAGTTTGACTTGGAGCTTCGCAAGGGCGGAGAACGTCGCAGACCAGTCTTGATGGACATGGAAAAGGAGCCTGGAAAACTTGAAATAAATTTCTATGAAAGTTGTAGAATCGAACGAAACTAGTACGACAGTATGTAGATAAACTGTAATCAGAAAAAGAGTACGAGAAAATCAGATCCAGTGCCCATTCGGGTCGTGTTTCATCGAGTTTAATTTTCTTTATACATTGTAGTCTAAATACAAGTCTAATTGGTTGATACTTTTGATCAGTGCGGGCTTTATACTTTGCCAATTTTAATGTGGCACTGGCACGCGCTCTGGGCGCTCTTGGCATGCTAAGTAATCTATGCGGAGATCTTAGTGCAGGCAGGCAATTCGCAGGTCTTCGCTTCTTCTCATTTTCCCGCCGTCGTACTAACGTTTATTTCTTTTTTGACTACCCTCTCCCCTTCTCCTCGAGTTCTACCTACTACGGGCCGTTACTTTTGCCACGAAGCAGAATGAGACCAATTAAAGCAGACGCAGAGCTTGACACGGACGACTCATCTCTGAATTGAAATTCTGGTCGGTTTGGGACGGGCCAAAAATCTGAGAGACGGTGGACCCGTCATCGGTACCTCCAAACGGAGTACGCAAGTCACTATGTGCGTCACTGTTTCTCGCACCTGCTCACTCTTTGCTGGCAATGGCTTAAAGGGCCTAAGCTTCCATGGACGCTGGGAGCCTGTTAAAAGCCCACGATGTCTCAAAACGTAGATGCTTCCCACTCATATAGTAACTATAATATATTCGATGCATCAATAGACCGTGTCATCTACCATCAATCAACCGCACAGTAAGCACATACCTTTGCCATCGGCATGCGCGAGATTCCGTTCAGGACACTGCGATAGGAATGGCAGCGCCGCAGCCTGCACAATCAAGAAGGATGCCAAATTGCCAATTGGTGATGGACGTAGAGAGAAGCCGGCGTGAAATCTGACAGGCAGCATCTGCTTGTGGCAGCGGAGACATTACCAACCAGGTAGCGCATAAAGGACTAAGGGCTGACGGATACAAAAAAGGCAGCGGGCGGATAAGGAGATGGGTAGGCAGAGTCGAGGCAAAGCATGAACATGCAGCATTTCCATTTCAATAATAATACTGGCAGTGTTCAAAATATCGAGAGGGGTTTTGTAAACCCCGTTGGCTGTCATCGTTTCCCAGACGGGCCAGTCCGCATTTCTGCAGAATGTCTGCGATATATCTTGAATCAAGAAGGATCGACCGTATTCCTCCCATATGACGGGTCTGACCAGGGCCGACTAGGTTTCTTGAGGTCAGGGGTTCATTTCATATTGAAGATTTTGTACGAGTTGACTCGGAGTAAGGGTGACCTCACAAGGCTATCAGTCATTTGCTGTAGCTCATTGTCATTGAGACGGGGCGTCCGAGCGAGCAGTTCTGGTGTTGAACAGGTAACGTCCGATTCCTTCAAGCGACTCTTTCTTGTGAAGTATGTGAAGCGTGCGTGATGGGACTGGCATCACAAAAACCCTGTAAACACACCAGGATTCACGATGGACAGCAGGCGCGTGCTCATCGTGTGTCGTCTGGTTATAGTAGAGGTAAGTTAGCAGCGAGGACCAAGGGTTCTGTGGTTGCTCCCTATAATAGATTCGTCTTGCCTCCTTGTCTGAATTTGTGAAACCTTCATAAGTACTGGATGCGTTAGACGCCCCAATCCCGAATGGTTTATTCGTTGTGGCTAGGGAAACTTGATTGTTGTATCGTTCCTAGCTATCCACACGCGTTCGCAAAAGGTCGATACTCGATGTGGTCCCTCAGATTGTACCTTGCCCTGCGCCTACACGTGCATTGCTGTATATGGAAGAAACGGCACCCCATACCACAGGCTGGTCCCTGAGTTCGTGCATCACATGTGGCGTTATGAGGGGCTAGGATAGAGTTTCTTCTTTGTTGTTCTCTGATAACAATAGTTGAGAGACAACAAGTTACTCATGAACATTGAATGACAGTAAAAAGCGGGAAACACACAGGTATACATCACGTTTGTTGTTATACATAATTTGGCACAAGTGCAGGGTAGATGACCGAAGAGGTACAAAGATAATTCTAATACCTGTAACGAGTGGAGTAATCTGAGGTGACATTAAGCCCGAGTACAATTATGATGATATTCAGATACAAACCTTTGGGAGATACGACAAGACCACGGCCCTTGGAGGCTCCGCGGTAAACAGTTTCGACGATATCAATCAGCTGGGATGAGATACATCAATAATGTGGACCTACTAAACAAATCATAACGTACCTCCTGTTTGTGGTTCATTGCCCAGTTTCTGTAGTAGCAGGCGATGCAATGTTTGAGATAGATCAATGTGCAGGGTGGATGCGCCACCTACATCTTGTTGTTGTTACCAGTTCCGAGATCAATCATGATATGCTTGTTACTGATTAGTACAGTGTTTCAGCTGCGTGTCTGATAAAATGAGGGCATCAAACCATACCGATAGAAGAACATGACGGTGCACGGATCGTATAACTCGTACATCTGTATCATTGTGCGACGATCGATAGTTAGCGCAGGTGGAACAAGACCTGTGAAACATACACACCTTGTTGAAATCCGGAACTTCAGTGATATCTACGAGGTAGATGACTGCAAAGTTCTGCACTTTCTCTGCGACAGAGTAGAGGGTCTCATCCATCGTCATGCATTGATGGTCCCAGTCGTGGCCAAAGCGGATCACAACGACACGGTCCTCTTCAGATTTGATGGCTTCATCGACGTGCCAGCCACTGGGTAGGTGTGGAAGGAAGTATGACATGGGTGAGGATATGGAAAGGTGACTTGGCGCCCGACGGCTAGGATACTACAAAATAATTTTTAATTAGACATATAATTTATCTTATGATATTGCATAATCTTCAACAATTGTCAACACCATCATCATGCAGCTGTGCATTGCATCGTAAAACCTGGACTTGTATCGATGCGTTGCGTTGGTCGTGTCGTCGACGTCAGTCGCAACGCACATGTTTGCTAGTTGTATTCATTGTTTTGAAACAACTTGAATGTGTATTTGTGCAACACAATTTTACTTCACTCCATCAACTCGGTGACTTCGCATTCATGCGTCATCTGGTATCATACAGCTTACTCTCCAAAGCTCGATTTCTCCCGCAATACCGAGTCTTGTGTTTGAGTAAGTTTTCAACGTACTTTGGGAATTCCAGACGACCCCAATGATTTCTCCCACCACTACCTTCCCAATTGCACTTTGTTTGCCATCGCCCACTGATTCCACGAGTCTCGTAGTTTCAGGTGTATGTGTTGCTGCTTCTTTTCTCAAATGGTACTTATTTCTCTGCAGATGTACTCACTTGTCTGCCTCCTTGCCTGTGTCATTGCTGCATTATTCCTTTCGTTGCCATTATTCACTGCTGTCAGGTTGCTCGCCGCTCTCTGTCGTGCTTCGCATTATCATCACGGTCCTGTATCGCGCTTTTGGGTCGCTGGTGGAAATAGTCGTAACAGTAGATTACAGCATAATTCGCGCGAATGCAATTGCCGATTTTGTCATACTGCCTGAAGTTCGGAAATGCGGTGTACCGTAAGTTCGTTCTTATACTCCTGGGATTGGTCTTGTTTGGCAGAAGCTCGCAGGCTGAATGGAAATAGTATCCCTAGCTACAATGTTACACTTGCCCGCGATCATCGTCTGGATACCATCATGAAGTAGTTGATGCTTGGCTGTCTTGTGCTCAAAATCCCGCCCTCTTTTAACGCCGGTTGCGATCAGTACATCCATGAAGGGCTCGTCGCATTGTGGCAACTACCATAGCTACTTCCATGCGTTGTCCCTTCAACCCTCAACACACCCTACCACACCTCTATCCGAGCACCGGTCTCTTCTTCCTGAAATCGCTGGTAACACGGATTGTTAGCCGGAAAGATATATTGCGAGAGCAATCCTGAGCTTACATCACTGCCATTAAATTGCTTCCACCTCGTTGTCTCCGGTAATCCTGCAGACAAGTTCTGCAGGCCTTCCACCTGCAGGGTCGCTGCGTTTCCAACTTCCATACAGTCCCACCGCGTCATACTTCAATGTCCCCGATCCGTTCAGAAAGGTTCAGACTTGGAGTAGACGAAGGTGGGCTCAGTAGCTGACATAATGGACACATTGACGGTTATGACGACGAAATACAGAAAATGATGAGTGGGCCTAATATTGACTGTCAGTCTGTCACATCTTCCATCAGGCCAGTTGCTACTGGAGACCAGCGACAATCAAAATTCCTGCAGTCTACACATTGCCGATATTCTCGCGGTTTGTTAGACCTGGTTTCGTTAGAGGACGAAACCTCTTCTGCGACTTGCCTCGCCTTAGGAACTCCCTAAGAGGCACGCGGTACATCAGCACCACGGACTCATCCTCAGACCGGTCATTTCAGACACCTCGTTAGAGGATGAATACTCTCACAAGCTGTTCGGTGCCGTGCAACGTGATTAATGGCTGGGAGTGGCAGGGGGTACAAGGCAAATGAATGTCATTTTTGCCGAGCTTGATCACTCCCGCCTTCCATAGCCTCTACGCTGCATACCGCCTAAGCAATAAACATAAGATCGGAAAATAGAGTTTGTGGGCAAGATCAATTTACCTTCACCGATGGTCGTATCCTCTGCCAGATTTAAGGCTAGGCTACTCGTTCACACTAATCAACATGTTTCCCTCGTTAGCTCTTGGTTTCCTCGTGACCGGCATTACTGCAGTCGCTGCAGCGAGCAGCATTGGCTGCGTCGGTACAATCGCATCCTTGGATGACGTTAGCAGCGCTATCCAATGCACGACAGTGAATATTGATACGTTCACCGTCCCTGGTGGAAAAACATTCGAACTGCAGCTGCTGGACGGTACCACTGTCAACGTTTGTGAGCGTGATCCGATACTTCGCTTTGCTCATCCCTGACTCTTTTTTAGTGGGCGAGATTCAGTTTGGAAATTTGAGCTGGGCTGGTCCTCTATTCCGGGTGATGTGAGTGCAGGCACTACTGCTTCAAGTGGCTCGGAGAATCTGATCAAGGCCGTCTTGACAGAGGGAATGACATTACTTGTACGTGTGTTATTTGAAGTCGTGGCAATCCTTAACGTTCTTAGTCAATGGAAACAACCAGAGGTGGGATGGCGGAGGACCTTTTTACTGGGTAAATACGCTGGTTCACTCGCGAGGATCTCGCTTCATGTTACACTAATACAGGACGGTCAAGGCTCCAATGGTGGTGTCACAAAACCACGCCCAATGATGCAGTAAGCTCATTAGTTACTGTTGTACTACGTTCTTTTTTAAATCTTACGTCTACCAGAATATCGATCTCGGGCACCTTGAACGTATGCGCTCGAATCGCCCCCAGCCGTTAGATTGCTAATCTGTTTATGCAGGACGTCTATGTCGTAAACTCTCCCGCCCACGTCTTTTCGATCACAAATCCAGGACCTCTCACTATCTCTGGCGCCACTGTCGATGATTGTGGGTAGTTGCATGTTATCAGCGGTGTCTCATTTTGACGTCAAGAACAGCGCAGGGTAACTATCCCAACTCGCGTAGCGGAAACGCTGCTGCTGGTAAGTGACGCGTTCATTTAGCGGGCGGTTTTTGAACTTACCGGCCGAAAAGGACACAACACCGACGGCTTTGATGTTGGCGGTAGTGATATACTAATTCAAAATTGGTTCGTCTTTCCTCTAGTTACTCGATCGACTCAGACACTTACGGACATTCAGCACTGTCCTCAACCAGGTCCGTTTGACAGTTGAGCTTCCACCTCCCTTCGCCTACAAGGTATTTGTTTTTGCAGGACGATTGTTTAGCTATCAGCAGGGGAACAAACATCACATTTGCCGACAACTACTGTGAATATGGTCACGGTATCTCCATTGTGAGCCACTTCATCAATTTTGTGAACCAAATTATTGAAATATTTGTTGTCTAGGGCTCCATCTCCTCAAATGTCGTCGTCTCCGACATCGCGATCATCGGAAACCATGTTGTTAGCAGGTGACTAGGCACAAGGGCGAATTAGAGTTGTACTGACACGAGTAGCTTATACTCGTTCCGTATCAAGACCGATACATCTGCGACAAACAGTATAGTGAAGAGTGTTACGTATAGCGTGAGTGGTTTTGATGACGATGACGATGACGATGACGATGACGATCCTGGACTGAATATTTTGTAGGACAATATTGCAACCAACTGTACCGATTTTGGCGTTCTGATCACCCAGGTACGTGTGTTTTACCACGGTCTCCCGTCGTCAATCATATAACACATCTACAGAGCTATCCCTCCAACCTGGGTACCCCGGGCAACGGGGCCACTATCTCTGTATGTGTTCTTTCAGTTTTACGTCGGCAAGGGTTTCACGGGTTGTCTCAGGATATCAACTTTAACTACGGCACCACTTCCTTGACGGCCGACAGCGGTGCTTACAGGGTTGCAGTGAACTGTGGAAGTGGATCGTGCACAGGTACACGAGTTACAGTTCCTGTCAGTCCATTTCTGACGTACGATGATAGGTGACTGGGATTGGTCTGGTTTGCAGACGAGTGGTGGTAAAGCTGGATCTATCATCAATAATAATCTCATTACTGGATTCGTTGATACACAGTGAGGTGATCCACCATGTGTTGATACATAGACTTGCTATTAATTCTCCTGTCGTACTTACTTGTTGGAACCATATAGTAATTAACCACGTCACTCAACCTAGACGAGTTAGACTAGACTCACCTTACTCGAAGTTGTTCTGGTGCCTAGCTTCAAACAACATAATGCGGATAATCGTGTTATATGCTCTTTTTCTCACACATTTTTGTTACGCTGTTGTCTGTGATATTATTATTATTATTATTATTATTATTATGGATAAAACTGCTTGCACCAAGTCGATGGTAGCGAGAAAGAAAGAGCAATCATTTCAACCTACATAGACCTTCAAGTGTTCTATGCACGTGCTCATGCATGCATGCCCTCGCACTTACGTAGAACATCGACAGTCTTACGTGAAAAGTTTACGGTCTGGCGTTAAGTGTCACTAACGCCCGGGCCGAAATGGGGGCACTGATAGTTCAACAAACACTTCCCACACCGCGTCTTGCTTGCAATTTTGACGCGCACGACGTGCCTTGACATTTCAAAATCTATCTATGACAGTCCCCAGTCGATTTCGTGCTGCCGTTCCAACCTTCCAGACGGTCCCCGCCACCATGTCTGCTTCCCTTGGGGTCGTTCCACCTCGCGGACCACACCGGTGGCACTGCTCGCTTAGGTAAGCTCCATGGGCCGTCAATGTCCTGCTGGTCAGTCCCACCTCATCCCAAAACGCAGTGAATTTCCAGAGGCTGCAAACGGATCCGGGAGCCACCTTCTATTTCAGGTGACGTTGGCCATTGGTGGTAGAATTTTGAATTTTGAATTTTGAATGTTATATTTGGCCATCTACGCTCACATTGCTCAAACGGCACGTGGGCCATAATATTGACTGTCAGTCTGTCACATCTTCCATCAGGCCAGTTACTACTGGAGACCAGCGACAATCAAATTGCTGCAGTCTACACATTTCCGATATTCTTGCGGTCTCTTGGACCTGGTTTCGTTAGAGGACGAAACCCATCTCTGAGATTTGTGTCTCCTTAGGAACTCCATAAGAGGCACGCGGTACACCAGCACCACGGACTCATCGATAGAGGATGAATACTCTCGCAAGCTGTTCTGTGCCGTGCAGTGATGAGTGGCAGGGGGTACTAGGCTACAAAATACCATTCTTGCCGAGCTGACCACTCCCGCTTTCCATAGCCTACGCTGCCTACCGCCTAGACAACGAACCCCACACATAAGACCGGCAAATAGAGCTTGCGTGCAAGATCAATTTGCCTTCACCGATAGCCGTATCCTCTGCCAGATTTAAGGTTAGGCTAATCGCTCACATCCATCATCATGTTTCCCTCGTTAGCTCTTGGTTTCCTCGTGGCCGGCATTACTGCAGTCGCTGCGGCCAGCGGCAGTGGCTGCATCGGTACAATCTCATCATTGGACGATGTTAGCAGTGCTATCCAATGCACGACAGTGAATATTAATGCGTTCACCGTCCCTGGTGGAAAAACATTCGAATTGCAGCTGCTGGACGGTACCACTGTCAACGTTTGTGAGCGTGATCTGATGCTTCGCTTTACGTATTCCTGATTCTCTTTAGTGGGCGAGATTCAGTTCGGAAATTTGAGCTGGGCTGGTCCCCTATTCCGGGTGATGTGAGTGCAGGCGCTACTACTTCAAGTGGCTCGGAGAACCTGATCAAGGCCGTCTTAACAGGGGGAATGACGTTACTTGTATGTGTGTTATTTGAAGTCGTGGCAAACCCTAACGTTCTCAGTCAATGGAAACAACCAGAGGTGGGATGGCGGAGGACCTTTTTACTGGGTAAATATGCTGGTTCGCTTGCGAGGATTTCGCTTCATGTTACATTGATACAGGACGGTCAAGGTTCCAGTAATGGTGTCGCAAGACCACTCCCAATGATGCAGTAAGCTGATTAGTCACTGTTGTACTACATTCTTTTTAATCTTGGGTCTGCCAGAATATCAATCTCGGGCACCTTGAACGTATGCGCTCTAATCGCCCCAGCCGTTCCAGACAGATCGCTAATCTATTTATGCAGGATGTTTATGTTGTAAACTCTCCCGCCCACGTCTTTTCGATCATAAATCCAGGACCTCTCACTATCTCTGGTGTCACTATCGATAATTGTGTGTAGTTGCATGTTGTTAGCAGTGTCTCATTTTGACATCAAAAACAGTGCAGGGTAACTATCCCAACTCGCGAAGCGGACGCGCCGCTGCTGGTAAGTGACGTGTTCATCTATCGGACAGTTTTGAACTTGCCTGCGGAAAGCACACAACACCGACGGCTTTGATGTTGGCGGTAGTGATATACTTATTCAAAATTGGTTTGTCTATCCTCTAGTTACTCAGTCGACTCAGAAACTTACGGACATTCAGCACTGTCCTCAATCAGGTCCGTCTGACGATTGAGCTTCCATGTCCCTTCGCCTACAAGGTATTTGTTTTTGCAGGACGATTGTTTAGCTATCAAAAGGGGAACAAACATCACATTTGCCGACAACTACTGTGAATATGGTCACGGTATCTCCATTGTGAACCACTTCATCAATTTTGCGAACCAAATTATTGAAATATTTCTCGTCTAGGGCTCCATCTCGTCAAATACCGTCGTCTCCGACATCGCGATCATCGGAAACCACGTTGTTAGCAGGTGACTACAGCACAAGGGTGAATGAGAGTTGTACTGACACGAGTAGCGCATACTCGTTCCGTATCAAGACCGATACATCTGCGACAAACAGTATGGTGAAGAATGTTACGTATAGCGTGAGTGGTTTTGATGACAATGACGATGATGATGATGATCCTGGACTGAATATTCTGTAGGACAATATTGCAACAAACTGTACCTATTTTGGTGTTTTGATCACCCAGGTACGTGTGTACCACGCTCTCCCGTCGTCAATCATATGACATATCTACAGAGCTATCCCTCCAACATGGGGACCCCGGGCAACGGGGCCACTATCTCTGTATGTGTTCTTTCAGGTTTACGTGAACAAGGGTTTCATGGGTTGTTCCAGGATATTAACTTCAACCATGGCACCACTTCCTTGACGGCCAACAGCGGTACTTACAGGGTTGCAGTGAACTGTGGAAGTGGATCGTGCACAGGTACACGAGTTACAGTTTCTCTCAGTCCATTTCTGACATACGATGATAGGTGACTGGGATTGGTCTGGTTTGCAGACGAGTGGCGGTAAATCTGGATCCATCATTAACAATAATCTCATTACTGGATTCGTTGACACAGTGAGGTGACCCATTTTGTGTTGATATATACATTCGCTACTACTTCTCCTGTCGTTCTTGCTTGTTGGAACTATATAGGAATTCACCACGTCACTCAACCTAGACTCATATTGAGTTAGACTAGACTCACCTCACCCGAAGTTGTTCTAGTGACCTGATGCTTAGCTTCCTTGTAGTCACAAAACATATACAGTACACTTTTTCATAACGCATAACGTCGGGACCCCTCCCAGGCTATGCATTATCCAGGCTCCTTCCGCTGGTTTGAGTGTGGAGGGGCAGAATCGGATCACGTGCTACAACAAAAATTCAAACCCAGCCCAACTTTAATTCCCCTCACACTCTCACCAGCGGCTGGAAGATAACATTTGTCAACAGCGTCAGCCACAGGCAGAACATGAATTTTATTTGCTAAGACCGAACGTAGGGTTAGATATACTGCAATATATTTCAAGTACTTTTGTCAAATACAATGCCGGTTATATTCTAAGGCTATAGTAACAATCAAATGGCCGCACACGCACCTTCTCCTAATCAAGATGCTTCTAACAATCAGCAGATACCATCAATAACTGACATTCGGTCACACTCTCTCGAAAAATTCGGTATCAAGCCTTGTCTGTGGCAGCTCAAAGTGGCCCAGGCTCTGCTCAAAGGCGACAGCGATGTTATATGCACAGCGGGCACTGGAATGGGGAAAACACTTGGATTCTGGTTACCTTTGCTGTTCCATGACGGTGGCATTCAAATCATTGTCACTCCTCTCAAAGTCCATTGATAAACCCCTCGAGATCTATTGCGTCAACCTGATCCCAATAACTGTCATCAACGGACATTTGCACACTGCTTGCGCTGTCATGTGCTTCTCCATCTCCTTTCTTGCATACAATCAGTGGCAGCTTGCGATCTTCACCAAGTAATCCCCCCAGTAAGTTCCACAATGCAGGTGCGCTAGTTTCCATCTCCCAGGCCATCTCCTCGATGCTGAAGTCCTCCAGCTGCTTGGTAGTTGCACTGGATGCACCAAAATGCCAACCTGCATGCTCAGATGAGATTTTCCGTATATCGGCAATGTATTGTTCATGAACGAGCTTGCACACGGAGTTTGTGAATGTGTCTTCCTTGGAAGGATGTTGCAGAAATGCTGCTAGTATGTCGGGTGAGTGTGCTACCAAATCTCACACAACATGATGATTATTGAACTGTTGGCAAGTGAGTAATGAGAGGATAAATTGTGATGCTGTGATGCTATTTCTTTCAAAGATGTTGATGATTTCTTCTACTACATGCTGCATAGTATGAGCACGGAAGCATTTAATTAGTATAACCGGTGTTGTATTTGACAAAAGTACTCGAAATATATTGCAGTATATCTAACCCTACGTTCGGTCTTAGCAAATAAAATTCACGTTCTGCCTGTGGCTGACGCTGTTGACAAATGTTATCTTCCAGCTGCTGGTGAGAGTGTGAGGGGAATTAAAGTTGGGCTGGGTTTGAATTTTTGTTGTAGCACGTGATCCAATTCTGCCCCTCCACACTTGAACCAGCAGATGGGAAGGAGCCTGTGCATTATCACCCCTTATGCATAACCAAGTTGTGTGACATATGTGACACATTGTGATGCCATGTGACCTCCCTCAAGAGTGTGACAGCTGAGAGCAGTACAGAACATATCATTTTCTATTTACTGAAGTATGAATCTATTGTTGTCTGCTTTGCTCCGCAAAATTCCTCTCTGCGCACACAAGCCCTAAATGCCTGCAGCCGTTTTGAGAGATCAAATGAGAGCTTGAGTTCACCAAATTGAAGGCAAGCATCTTCAAGTTGCTGGCACAGTGTGAAAACTTGCGTGAAAGTGTACTCTGGCGTCAGGTTTTCGTCTTTGTCGCCATCCTCACTATCTTTTTTCGAGTCATGACATTATGAGGTTTGGCTGAGATAGCGGGTACATCTTTATTCATTGCTGCTTGTAGGGAGCTGGCTTCTCCCATGGTTTGTGGGTCTTATTGGGCATGCGAGAGGAGAACAAAGACAAATTTTGACACCACTATGCACTTTAGATAGTCTAAACTACATTAGTATAGGTGCTGACAGTGATCAATGCTGACCCGAACATGACCTGATGTGTTACCAAGGCTCCTCATAATGCATAAATCAGCCCAGAGGATTATGCATTTTGCATGCATATTGCCTGCATCCCACAATGGGACCCACCCAAAGGTGATGCGTTATGAAAATTATGCATTATGAGGCCATGCATTATGATAAAGTGTACTGTAGCTGCATGCAGATATCGTGTTATACACTCTTTTTTCACACATTTCTGTTACACTGTCGTTTATGATATACATACACTTACAACCATGGAGAAAGTCAAACATACCTACCATTTTTGGAGATGACTGGATCCTCTGTGTCAGAGATGAAGGCAAATGGAAGCACCTCGAGTGTGAGGTAGTAGGAAGAGAAAAAAATCAGGAGCACAGCACAACCAAAAAACTACCAGACACTGAGAAAAGGGAAGTGGTGGATGGGTGAAAACAAAAGGCAGTGCACATAGGGCTGGCCACCATAACTGTATACAGTTATGGCCATACAATTTATGGCAGGCTTACAGGTACTACCTGTACCATACTGTATGTCATCACCACATCATGGCAATTCAATGCATTATACAGTGTAATTACAAGTAATGTGTTGTACATTAACAAGTGTAGTTATAAGGCACAAGTAAATGCATTAATCAGGTGTAACCACAAGACACTGGGGCTCACCAGGATAATGCATCACATTACCCATGACTTGTTGACCAGTCATATGTTTCAGACATGTAGAGATACGTGGCACTTTTCCTCGAGTGATGACATCACTCGAGGAAAAGTGCCACATGTCTCCATACCATGTGATGTTTCAGTGGGACAGTCTTTCTCGCGTGAGATGTTTTTTGTGATTTGCAGAATAATATGCCGAACAATTCCAAATTCAGATAGTAGTAATACATCAAAGAGGAGCCTGTAGCTCTGGTATACAAAGATCAGGAAGAGCCAATGCCAATGGGTCAGAAGACACCTCACAGGTGATGACAGTAAGATGCTGTGCCCAAGAAGCCTCGAACTTAGAGCCAAGGTTATGACATATCTGAGCCTGGCGAGTGGCATAGGCAACTACCCCTTCCTTTTTAGCCCCCAAGAGAGTGCACAAATGAGCTATATTGTCCCACCAGAGTGCATGCCATTGGAGAAATTGGAGAACATGGCGCATTTCTTCCTGCAGCAACTCGACTTCTTCCTTCCACCGCATCATCCTAGCACGAGCTTTGCACCACTTGACCCAAAGACCTATTTGTTGAGAGCTGATCCATCAGAGTGATCCGTCAGAGCATCCGAACCGGTATCAGTCTAATATTGCATCTGTCATTGCACATCACTTACCTAGTTACAATTATTTTCCTTCTTTCTCTCTCTCTCTCTCTCTATATATATATATCACATATTACAGTGACCTATTTCCGTATAATACGAGGGAACGGACGTGCATAATATCCCATATGATACGGGCCAGCGGACCATGGGCCCATGATAAAAATATCCTCGACTATGACGGATGGGCCGAGAGGCAAATTATTCCCGATGGAGGTGGGTGGGCCCATGCAGGGGATATATAGAGTAGATGAGTGGGCCGATGTACATGAATATTAGGTAGACGGGTGGGCCGAGGTAGTTGGATATTATGCAGATGGGTGTATTAAGGTAGATGTGTATGAGATAGATGAGTAGGTACTTGTTATCACATTCACGGGTGGGCCCAGACACATATTAAATTAGACAGGTGGGCCGAGGGTATTATACAATATTGTATTATACGGGTGGGCCCAGACACATATTAATTAGACCGGTGGGCCAAGGGTGTTGTATGGGATGTTGTATTAGATGGGTGGGCCGAGGGTGGTATAAAATATAGATGGGTGGGCCCATGTGTATCATAATTGTAAACACGATGGAGCTGAGGTAGTTGTACATCAACCAAATCAGAGGAGGTAATAAAATCAAAGTTACCAAGTTCCTGGAGCAGCAGGTGATCTCCTGACATGGCCTTTGATGGTGCACAGGTTGTCTTGCAAAATTTGGAATCCGGGGTGCAAAGCTTGTGTTACCCTATGAGAAGCCAAGTTCCGATTACCAACCTTTGGGTCAACCATACTCAGAGGAGGTAATAAATCAAAGTTCCCGAGTTCCTGGAGCAGCAGGTGATCTCCTGACATGGCCTTTGATGGTGCACAGGTTGTCTTGCAGAATTTGGAATCCAGGGTGTGAAGCTTGTGTTGCCCTATGAGATGCCAAGTTCCGACCACCCAAATTTGGGTCAACCGTACCGACTTCCAAGTTCCAGGACCCGGGAGTCGACAAATGAATATCTGATAACCAGCACACTTCCAATCAGGTAGTATTTCATTGAGCAATGAATCATCCAAGGGGTCTCTTATCAGACTCGGTAGTCAATATAGGCAAATGATAATGAAAACATGAAAGTTGTTATTATGCTATTTTTCAAACCCAAGACCCTGAAACCCATTGTTCAACATGTCCATTTTTCACTCACTGCACAAATCACCAAGTTTCGAGTGCCAAAGCGTGAAACTTGAAACCCAGTGTGCAACATGTCCATTTTTCATGTACATTACACAATTCATTGAATTCCGAGTGCCAAGTGCCGAAACCCGAACCCCAAGACCCGAAAATATGTATGCAACATTTCAATTTTTCACTTGTTGCACAAATCACTGAGTTTCAAGTGCGGAAACCTGAAACTCAAAACCGGGCGTGCAACATGTCCATTGTTCAATTATATTACACAAGTCATTAAGTTCCGAGCTCCGAGGGCCGAAACCTGAACCACGAGACCCGAAAATATGTACACAACATGTCCATTTTTCACTCATTGCATAAATCACTGAGTTTTGAGTGCTGAAACCCGAAACTCGAAACCCGGTGTGCAACATGTTGATTTTTCATTTACATCACACAAATCATTGAGTTCCGAGGTCCGAGGTCCGAGACCCGAACCCCGAACCCCGAAAATATGTGCACAACATGTCCATTTTTTACTTGTTGCACAAATCACTGAGTTTCAAGTGCCAAAACCCAAAACTCGAAACCCGGCATGCAACATGTCCATTGTTCAATTATATTACGCAAGTCATTGAGTTCCGAGCTCCGAGGGCCGAAACCCGAACCCCGAACCCTGAAAATATGTACACAACATGTCCATTTTTCACTCATTGCACAAATCACCGAGTTTTGAGTGCTGAAACCCAAAACTTGAAACCTGGCATGCAACATGTTGATTTTTCATTTACATTACACAAATCATCAAGTTCCGAGTGCCAAGGGCCGAGACCCGAAGCCCAAGACCCGAAAATATGTATGCAACATTTCCATTTTTCACTTGTTGCACAAATCACCGAGTTTCAAGTGCTGAAACCTGAAACTCAAAACCGGGTGTGCAACATGTCCATTGTTCAATTATATTACACAAGTCATTGAGTTCCGAGTTCCAAGGGCCGAAACCCGAACCCCAAGACCCGAAAATATGTGCACAACATGTCCATTTTTCACTCACTGTACAAATCACTGAGTTTTGAGTGCTGAAACCCGAAACTCGAAACCTGGCTTGCAACATGTTGATTTTTCATGTACATTACTCAAATCATCGAGTTCCGAGTGCTGAGGGCCGAGACCCAAAGCCCGAAACCCAAAATCATGTACACAACATGTCCATTTTTCACTCATTTCACAAATCACCAAGTGTCGAGTGTCAAAACCTGAAACCCGGTACTTCAAATGGACACAAATTGTATTTGTATGTATTATCCATTGGTGTAGGGCTCAAATAACCTGGGAATTGTATTTGTCAGTACTCGGTACTTGGGACTTGGGACTTGGTACTTGGTACTTGGCACTCAGTGATCGGTGGTCAGTGGTTGGTACTTGGGACTCGGTACTCGGTACTCGGTTCTCGGTTCTCGGTACTCGGGACTTGGGACTCGAGACTCGGGACTCGGGACTCGGGACTCGGGACTCGGGACTCGGGACTCGGGACTCGGGACTCGGGACTCGGGACTCGGGACTCGGGACTCGGGACTCGGGACTCGGGACTCGGGACTCGGGACTTGGTACTCGGTCCTCGGCACTCGGTGATTGGTGGTCAGTGGTTGGTACTCGAGACTCGGTAGTCAATATAGGCAAATGATAATGAAAAATGACAGTTGTAGTCCATGTCAAGGTGAGTGATTTGGTAGTCTTTCCTTGTCATTCAGCAAAACATCAGCAATAATGAAAAAATGAAAGTTGTTATTATGCTTAACTTCCTTACCAAAGGTTGTAGTCCAAGTCCAGGTGAGTGTAGTGGTAGTCTTTTCTTGTCAATTGGTTATCTTGTTACTCATTACGCAGTACTTGGTACATGGTAATTGGTACTCAGTATTTGGTTTTGATACTCGGTATCTGGGAATCAGTAGTCAGCTTAATCAAGGTTGTAGTCCGAGTCTAGGTGAGTTTATTTGTAGTCTTTTCTCGTCCATTGGTTACCATGTGACCAAGATATAAGCTAAAGAAATCCAAAACATCAATAATGACAAATGAAATACATGTGTGCAGTAAGTGAGTCTAAAGATAAAGAATGAATATTAATAGCGAGACTTGCACATTATGTCGAGATATCCAACATGACAAGCCTGTGATGTGATCAGAGACCTGGAATAACACCCATATACATCCATTATAATAGCTTAAAAGCTTAGAAATATTCATGAAGGATTGATGTAATGATAGGCAAAATGATGTGTGGAGAGTGACAGTAGACATCTTTTATACAAAGTCACATTTATATATGATTCAGGCCAAAAATATCATTATAAATATGTAGGATAGATTGTAAACTACCCAAGGAACCCATACTGCCTACTGCCCTGAGGGTAGGGGGTGGGTAGAAGGGATATAGTGAAAATATGAGTTGACCCAGCATTAAAGTCCTACCACTGCTCAACTAACCATTTTCGATGCTTTGGGTCTTTGAAGTTTCCCACACTCAATTTCTTACCCATTTCACTTCCTCAGTACTCAATTCTTGGTTGATTTGTCTGTAAATTTATGTCTATGATACTTAAGATATTTGAAATGTACCCCAGGTTTCTGATTATGAAGATTCAATGTTTTGAAGGCATGGGCCCCTTATCAGGCAAAATGGCAAGTATGCACACTAGCTCACAAACTCCAGCCTATTGTGAGCTGATCTTGGTCATAAGAAGCAAGAATATAAGCTATGCTCATTATATATTAAAAGGTTGGATCATGGATGCAAGGGCAAGATACTGAAAATTGTGAAAAAATGTCACAAGTGCAATTGTCTATGCTTTGTTCCTGGAGAAGGATCCTGTGTGTCCTGGGCTGGTTATATGATATATCTACTCCGAATATGCTCAGGAATAGACTCCCTACAGTCCTTGAGGTCCAGCTTTACAGGGAAAAACCCCCAGCGGGTGAACCACCAGAAGAGGGGGAGGTACACTATACAATAAAGGATTACCCTATGGTCCTGAGCTCCTGATACATTGTTTCTATTGTTGAATAGATGATTGAGATATAATTCCAAAGTTCGTTCACCTAGAAATGAACACATAGGAACATATTTTGTATTTTTATGTATATATGCAATATCCATTTAAGCACCAAGTCTCAACTACCGATTACCAAGTCCCGACACTTGATAGTTGATAGTCAGTATTTGAGCTCCGAGTGCCAATATTGCCTACCAATATCTCAGTCAAATGATAACCAAACCAAGACCCAAGTTCCAAACCTGACTACCGAATACCAAGTATCAGTACTCGGGACTCAGGACTATTGGCTGGAGTACCCAACTATTGATTCCCAGGTACCGAGAATTAGAACCAAGTACCAAGTACCTGACTACTGATTCTCGGGTACCAAGTATCAGAACCAAGTACCAAGTACCCGACTACTGATTTGAAGTACCGGGTTTCAGGTTTCGGCACTCGACACTTGGTGATTTGTGCAATGAGTAGATGGGCATGTGGCATACATGTTTTTGGGCTTCGGGTTTTAGGATTCTGCCCTTGGCACTCAATGATCTGTGTAATGTAAATGAACAATGAACATGTTGCACACCGGGTTTCGAGTTTCGGGTTTCAGCACTTGAAACTCGGTGATTTGTGCAACAAGTGAAAAATGGAAATGTTGCATACATATTTTCAGGTCTTGGGGTTCGGGTTTCGGCCCTCGGCACTC